TCCGTCTGCTCGGACTCCGCACCGCTGATGTTCACGATGTTGTGCACGCCGCCAGCGAGGAGGGAAGGGAGGGACGGAATGCGCAGAGACCGTCCGCAGAAGCGGCTCCTTAGAAAACATGAGCGTGCAATTGCTTCCCGTGCGCCACTGAAAAATCGATTCCAGGAAGGCGGCCCGAGCACAGTCTGCCCAGCTCGCCGTCGAACAGCACTGGCACGTCGAGGCCCGTCCGCTCGGACCCCGCGCGCCCGAGCTGGAGCGACGGGAGCTCCCCTCGAGCCGCCCCCCTCTGGAAGCCTCGCGGAGGGCCTCGCGGTCTGCCAGCGCGCCCGTCGCGACCCGGCCGTCGAAGGGCGCGTCCAGGTCGCTGTTGTGCACCCCGCCGGCGCCTCTGCCCGCCCCGTCGCCCTTCAGCGTACAGTCAACCCGCATGGCACGGATGGGCGACCTTCCCATGGGTACCCTTTTGCCTCCTCGCCTCCTCGGTGCACCCTTGGCCACTTTCGTTGGCCGCAGCCCCGCTCGAAGAGCCTCGAGGCGGGCGTCCAGGGCCCTTGCATCCTCACCGCGCGTCCTCGTGATGCGGGCTGGCTCTGGGCACGCAGAGGTCCATCCGCTCGGACTCCGCGCCGCTGCCGTAGCTGCTGCTGGTGCCCCTCGCCCGCATCCTCGCCCCTGTCCCGCTCGTCGCCGCACGAGTCGGGCAGGTCGGCAATCCGCTTGCTCGAGCTACGCATCGATGTCTTTGCCGCAGGTGTGCACCTCGCCGGCGCTGCTGTCCAGCTCGTCGCCGAGCGACGCGAACACGCCGAAGTCCATCTCAGCTTGGACTTCGGGTCTGTGCCGTTCCCGACGATGTGCTCGTGTTGCGTCGTGCCCTCTTCCACTCACTCACTCAAGAGCCGCGCCTGGACGTCGCGTCGGCAATAGAGCAACTACATGCACATGTCTGGGAGCGGCTACTGTGCCTCGGAGCTCGACCGCCGGCAACCTTTGCCCATCCCCCGCTGAAGCCATCGGTGAGGTCGAGGGTGACAGCGCCAAGGAGGCCGAGGGGGACAAAGATGGGCGCCCGCGCCCGCATCACCCCCACGGCAGCCGCCTCAGCCTGGCCCGCGGGCGCCGCGCGCCCCTCCAGTCGGGGCCACCGCGACGCACGGCGCAGCTCCGCCGCTCCCCGCCGCCACACTGCCTACGCCCTGCGCGTCGGCGTGGCGGGCGAAGTTGCGCCGCAGGTTCTGCTTGTTCGCTGCGCGGAGGAGAGGACGGAAGCGAGAAGGGGATTGCTTTCCGTCAAGGCCCCCGTGACAGTCCAACTCAGTCGTGCGTCTGGCAACGTATGCCTCTTGTGGGGTGCCTCGTGGGGCTGAAGGCCGGCCAAGCCCAAGTCCGTGGCGACCCGGGAACGGTCGCCAGGAGCGTCGGCCAGGCGCAGCTCCCCCGAAATGAGACGGATTGCAGCAGGCACGCGAGAATAAATCTTGGCGAAACACCGAAAACCCCAGGAGAGGGCGCGCAGGGACGCGCGGCGCACGATAATCAAAAGGAAAACCCAACTCCGAAATGTAGTTGGAAGATCAGGGCGCGGGGGGCGGGAGCGCTGGACCCCGACCCTTGCAACAGGGCGCTTGCGCGCGAGACGAATCGAGCGAAACGTGCGAGGGACGACCGAATAGACGAGCCGAGCACAGCGATCCCGCAGAAGCCCCTTTCCCGAACGCACGGCACCCTTGGAAAGGAAGCCTTCTGCTTGTTCGTTGCGCGGAGGAAAGGACGGAAGCGAGAAGGGGATTGATTTCCGTCAAGGCCCCCGTGACAGTCCAAATCAGTCTTGCGTCTGGCAACATCTGCCTCTTGTGGGGTGCCTCATGGGGCTGCAGGCCGGCCTGGCCCAAGTCCGTGGCGACCCAGGAACGGTCGCCAGGAGCGTCGGCCAGGCGCAACCCGAAGAGGCGAGTTTTTATATATATATATATATATATATACATATATATATATATATATATATACCACAAAAAAAAGCCCCTAATGAGGCGCCTCCACGGAGGCACGGGTGAAACGTGCGTCTGGGTTTGAGTAGTGGCTGGCACCGCCACGGGACTCGAAACCGCAGACACGGCGCGCATAGCTGATCGCACCGCTCCGAATCTAAGAAACGGGCGCAGACGGCTCGCATGGTTCCACAGTTTGACCTCCCGCCCTGAGCCTGCACCAGCACTTCTGGTAAGTTGCCAACCGCTCTGCACCAGTGGGCGCCGCCTTTGCGCCACGAGTGCGCTCCCACCGCGGCACTCGGACAAAGCTTGGAAAAAAACTTCGGCGGACGGAATCGCAACTCACTGCGTGGGGCTCCGCTAGATGAGTTGCGCAGAACACCGGCGCATCTGGGTCGGTTCCCCAGCGCGCGTCACGGTGCGCCAACCATTCTCTCAAGAGGTGGCAAGGGCATAGCGTCGGCGTGTCTGCAATCCGGGGAATGTGACACACCATGCCTTGGCCGAACAGGTCGTTCTTCTGGCGCGCTACAAAAATGGATGCGAAATCTACGTGCAAGGATTTGCCTCGAGGCCGAAGCGCAAGAGTCTCGGAACCTCTCTGGACTCCGAAAAAGACATCGTTGCTATAATGACGTCTCGGACGGCTGCCGGGCTGCCTGCTTTGAGGCGGGTGGTCTGATAGCATCGTAGTTCTTCCAGAGTGACTGGGCGCTTCGCGTGTGACAGGGAATGGTCGGCCCTCTTCTTCAAGCCTCTCCAGAGCTGGGCCGACCGATCCGTCCACGCACGGTCAAAGTGGGCTGACCAGCATCACACTGCACCGCGCAAGTTTGTGACGGATGACCAGGACTGGCCATCCATTTGCGCAAAAATCAGCATGAATTGCACGTCGGAGTCACATGGCAGCAACCGGATCCCTGCAGCATTTTCAAACGAGCCCACGGCCGTACGCAAGGAGCTGCTGTACCGTTTTTTGGGTGCTCTCCTCCAAGGCTGCTTGGAGGCAACAGTGGATTGTCGAAGCGGCCCCACTGTGGTCCGCCCCTTGCTCCGCACTGGCGCTCTCGCTAATCAGGAGCAAGAGGTCGGGCCCCTCGGACAACAGCTGTCGCGCGTCCAGCGCGTCCACGAGCGGGGCGCGAGGTCGTTCGGGTTGTCGCGCGGCGTCTTCGGCAAGCCCACGCAAAGCACCCGGAAGCCCGCACCCGCGTGGATCGCTCTGGGAGGCCACTGCTGGTGACGCCAGGGTTAGGTCGGGCCTGTCCCCCTACAGGGGGGTTTTCGACGAAAAATGAAAATACAATACACCAAACACTGTCCAACCATATTCCAAAAATGGTCTGGGGACTATTGTTTGATTATTGTTTGGCCTTTTTTATTTTCGTCGAAAATCCACCTGTAGGGGGACAGGCCCGACTTAAGCCCAGCTTCATCTTGAGCCACAGAAGCATCGGCACGTGACGGGGTCGTCTTGCTCAGTGGTTTGTTTTTTGTTTGCTGAACGGATTTCGAGGAGGAGACCGAGGAGGAGGAAAGGGAGGGGGAGGTCGAGGAGGAGGAGGGGGGGGGACGAAGAATGGGACGAAGAGAGGGGGGAGGCTTCAACCACCCAGCCCGCCCCGCGGTTGCGCAGGCTTGTCGTCGTCGTCGTCGTCGTCGTCGTCGTCGCCGCCGCCGCCGTCGTCGTCGTCGTCGTCGTCGTCGTCGTCGTCGTCGTCGTCGTCGTCGTCGTCGTCGTCGTCGTATTTTGGGGGGGGCCTCCAGGGGGCCTCCTGGGGGCCTTTTGGAAGCCATCCTCTGGTTCGGGGCTCGCCATGCCAGTGCGGAGTCCCCCTTCTTGGGACCTTCCCGGGGGGCGGCCGGCCCCGGGCGCGCTCCGCTGGGGGAGCCACGCGCCGAGCGAACCTGCAGCTGGGCCGAGCTGAGCGGAGGAGGCCTGCGACGACCCCCAATGGAGGCCCCGAGGGGGCCCCGAGGGGCCGGGGCTCCAGAGGCGAGGGCCTCCCAGATGGGGTCGGGGCAGACGGGGTCGGAGGATCGCGCCGTACCGCCGGTGCATCGCCGATGCGGCCCACTGTGCAGCCCGATGCGCTTCACGTCGACGTCGCCGATGCATCGCCGACGTCGCCGATGCATCGACGAGGCCTTGCCGACACATCAGCGATGTCTTGGCGATGCGGCGCGATCCTTCGACCCCATCCACTCTGACCTCGTCTAGGAGGCCTATACCAAGAAACGGGGGTCAATGCAAACAGATCAGCCAGAGCGCCAGATCTTGCAGGATCCTGAAGGGCCAGGGGTGTATTGACCCGGGCTTAGGCGCAGGATGCTGCAGGATCCTGCTGGACCTTGCAGGATCCTGCGAGGCCTGACTAACCCAGGTCTGGATCGGCCCAGGTCAGCATGTAGATCCCGACGAGGAGGACCCGAGAGGCCTCCATGGAGGCTTCTGGATGCCCCCTGAGGCACCACAAGGATCAACGACATCGCAAAACCTCGGGTCTTGCGTCTCCGCCGCCAATCGTCGCCGTCGTCGTGGTCGTCGGCCGTGGCCGTCGCCCTGATCGTCGTCCGTCGTCGTCGCGGTCGTCCGTCGTGGTCCGTCTTGGTCGCCATCGTCGCCCGTAGCCGTCGTCGTGGTCGTCGCTTGCCGTCGTCGTCGTGGTCGTCGCTCGTCGCTTGCCGCCGTCCGTTGTAGTTGTCGTCGTCGTCGTCGTCGTCGTCGTCGTCGTCGTCGTCGTCGTCGTCGTCGTTGTCGTCGTCGTCGTCGTCCGTCGCAGGCCGCCAGCCAGGCCGCCAGCCAGGCCGCAGCCGGCCAGGGCCGCCGCTGGCCGCTGCGGCCTGCCGCGCTGCCGCCGCCGCCGCCGCCGCCGGCCTGCCGCCGCTTGCCGCTTGTCGTCCGTCGCGAGTCGGGGCGGCCGTCGGCGTCACGGCCGCGCCGCACGCCGTCGACTGTCGTCGGTCGTCGTCCGTCGCGCGTCGCCACGGCGGCCGCGCCGCGCGCGAGGTCTGGCACGCCCCCGTGGAGGCCGCGCTGGGCGGCCTGGGGGCGGTGGCGGAGCCTTCCGGCCCCAGCGGCGAGGAGGCCGTACGCGCTCGGGCCCTCCTCCTGCTCCTCCTCCTCCTCCTGCTCCTCCTCCTCCTTCCCCTCCTCCTCCTCCTCCTCCTCCTCCTCCTCCTCCTTCCTCCTCCTCCTCCTCCCCCTCCTCCTCCTCCTCCTCCTCCCGCTCGCTCGCTCGCTCGCTCGCTCGCTCGCTCGCTGAGGGCACAAGGGGGTTCGAAGCCCATGCATACTGTAGAAAGAGGGAAGGCGAAGACAGTATCCCCAAAACACGCACGTGCAGAATTAGGGAGGAGGGACCAGGCCCACAGCTTACCTGCTACGAGACCTGACCGCACACTGGAGCACTGATGCCGCCACGCCCAGCGCAGCGGGAGTCAACAACCCCGAATGCTCGAGGGAAGGAGGTGAATGGCGCGTCCCATGGGGGCACCGTCCTCCACAAATCCCTGGCGTGAAGAGGTCAAGATTCATGGAACCCAACGCAAGATTCACTGTCGGCAATTTATGAGGCGACCCAAACGTACACAAATCGATAAAAAAGGTGGCTCACTTTGGGATGACGAAACATCTCTTGAGCGAGCGGTAAACGGGCAGGAGACGGGAGGGACGAGCAATGGACATGCGGCAACACAATAATAAAGGGAATATCAATGTCAATGCACAACATAGCATGCTGCAGCCCTTTAATCATCAGGTTGTTCTGTTCCACGATCAAGTCCAGAGTGGCGCCATTGATGTGGCGGATGCCCCAAGGGCGCGCAGACGAACGACAAACCCTTTCCTCCCCCCCAGGTCTCCGAGAAGAGGCAAGCGGCTCAATTAGACAGCCCAAGACCAACCCACGAGACGCACGAGCAAGGAACTCTTCCCCAGAGAACCAAGACAACGACACAGTATCACATTTGGCAGCCAAAGAGGCAGGTGGGGTTAAGTCAAGACCTGATTCAAAAGCTCTCAACGCAGACTCTGAACGATCAGTGTCAAAGCCTGCCCACAAGTAGCGTGCATTGGCGGCAGGAGGGACAGGAACAAGGGGAACATGCGCAATGCTAATCGGAATCTCACTCGGAGCCTGCGGGGGTTGTACGAGAGTCTTGTGAACCAACGACCTCAACCTAAATGGGGGACCAACAGCTTTAACCGAGGGATAAATCGCAACCGTGTCTCCGTGGCCGCTCTTCCTATTATTGCGAGCTATGGCTCCTCCTCCTCCTCCTCCTCCTCCTCCTCCTCCTCCTCCTCCTCCTCGCTCTCTGCGCTGGGCTCCTCGTCCCCCTCCTCCCCAACCTCCCCGCCCCGCCCCTCGCGCGCGCGCGCGCGCCGCGCGCGAGGCCTCGGCGGGCGGCGCGCCGGGGCACCCGGAGCTCCTGGCCGCCGTGGCCCAGGCCCCCCTGCCGGCCTCCCCCCCCGACGGCGCCGACGGCGCCGAAGCAGGGCTCATGCAGCCACGCGCAGAGGGTCACCACCCACCAAACCACCCCAACCCAACCCGAAGGCTTCATTGTGGGAGTTTTCCGCATGGTCTTGGGACTCGGGTCGCTTTCCGAGGACGTCTCGTTGCGAACAAGGCATCCGACGTCCCTCGACCGTGCGGTGACGGACCGCGCGGTGAGGTCGTTGGGGATTCCGGGGTCACCACGCGGTCCGGCTCCACACGGTTTTGGAACCCCGAGAGCATTCGGCACAGACACAATTCGGCGGCCCTCCATTTCCAGTTGGGGGGGTCGGGGAACACTGGAAAATCACATCTGGAACCCGTACCTCCCCCCCAACCCGAAATTCGGGTCAAATTCGGGTCTTCGGGTTGGGTTGGGGTGGTCTGGTAGGTAGTCAGAGGGGCGTGCATGGGGGGGAGGGGGGGAGGGCTTCTTAGAAGCCCCCCTTCGCTTTTAGAAGGGGCGGGCCTTATCTATAGATGTAGGGCCGGCGTCTTCTACGAAGCAGCGTCCTTGTAAGAAGCCTTCCCCCCTCCCCCTACCTCCCTCTGCGCGCCGCCAACCGACGGCGCCGAAGCAGGGCTCATGTCGACTCCTCCGAGGCGATTCGGTTCGATTCCGATAGATTCCAATTCCGATTCGTCGATTCGATCTCGATGGTCGATGTGGATTTCGTCAAGCAGTGGCGAAGCGTCCCAGCTTGCCAATAGGCCTACCAAAGAATGTTATTCGAACTGTTTGTGGTCTGCAAAAAGTGTTCTTAGAATATTTCTGGCAGGGACTGTCTCGTTTTAACCCATCGGGTGTAGGTTCCAAGAACATTGTTTTCGTTATTATAACATTTTTGGGTTTGTAGGCCTATGGGAATGCTGGGGTGGTCGGTCCCGGCTCAAAGGGCTCATGTCGACTCCTCCGAGGTATTTCGGTTCGATGCTGATAGATTCCAACTCCGATTCGATTCGATTCGATGTCTCCCGACGTGGCTGCTGATTTCTGCCGGTCT